TTTAAAAGCACTGCACATTATTAAAGGATTCTTGTTGTTTGTATCTATTACTGTATTTGTGCATAATAGCGTGCCGGTGTGTTATTTCGAGTAATGGCCTGAATTAAACTTAATTTAGGCCGAAATTCGAAATTACTCCCTATGCGTTATTATGCACAAATATAGTATATATTTTTAAATAACTCTACAAGTCATTTCATATTTTTAAATAACCAATGACTGGTCATTATTCACTTGAGTCATGAAGTCATTTCAGGTCATTTACCATCCCTGATATGTAATGTGCACCCAATTCTAGTTGAATTAGAATTTGACAATCTATTAAATTTAACGATGGCACCATTCGCATTTTCAGACATATACCCAGTATTATCGGTAAGCCATGTCATACACTTTCATGTATCAAGTTGATATTTCTGGCAAGTTTTAACGACTGAATTTGCGATAGTATCAGAATTACACTTTTTAATAATTTTTAAACTAACCATACTTGCTATTGGGTAATTTAGTTCCTTATCCCAGTACATAAAGCAGATGATCAGGTTCTTGTCTTGACCGCGAGTTGATTCATCAGCAGAGATGCCAAATGCACTTGATTGTTGAGCATGCTTGGCTAAATTAGAAATAGATAATTCTGATATTTGTTTATGCCAGGTTGAGACACGTTCTGTTGAAAGCCAACTTTTTGGAGATTCACACGTTAAAAACTCATAGATTAATTTTGTGCATTCTATGGTTGCACACACTAAAACTTGCCCGACTTGGGCTAGTTTAGTTGTAAGCCAAATCATGTTTGAGGAATAATGCTAATCATTGGATTTAAAAAGAGTTTTAACTTGTTTTTTAAACTCTTCTGAGGAAACGTTTTTAGATCTATGAACTAAAGAGCGTATTTCGGATATTTGGCGAGATGTTTTTTGCTGGAAGTGACGATTTTGGGACTCAAGTGATTTTGTTTTTTTAATAAGAATCTGATTTTTTTGTATTAACTTTTTGTTTTCAGCCCGAAGACGATCATTTTCTTCTTTTAAAGCAGAATAGCTTACTTGCGGCCGATAAAGAGAGTTGGAAATTACTTTACCCAATTGCC